TGTCTCCTAGGCTTGTGGTTACCCAGCACTGCAGACTTGGACGGCTTGAGGTACTCGTTTATTGTCCCACAGTCCTGGTGGCTGTGGTCTGGAACCAAAGTGTGGGCCCGGTCAAGCTCTGAAGGCCCGGGGGAAGGACCCGTCCTTGCCTCGTCCTGGTCCCCAAAGGTTGCCATCCTTGGCGCTCTCTGGCATGCAGCCAAATCCCTCCACTCTCAGCCTCTGTCTTCACATTGCGTTCTCCCGGCCTGTATCTGTGCCCGAGTTCCCTCTATCTCATAAGGACGCCAGGCACTGAGTCAAGGCCTACGCTAATACAGTGTGAGCTAAATCCATCTTCAAGGAGCCTTCTTTCATATAGGGTCACATGTGCAGGTATCAGGGGTTAGTTAGTCTTTGAACACATCTTTGGAAGGGCATAATTCAAACCACAACCTCCCACAATAATACATTTTCAAGAAGAAATATTCTGATAATTCTCAATATTATTCGATAAATATCCCAATACCATGCTGTTTCCAAAATAAGGCACACAATAAAAACACGAGGGGCGCTGGCGCTGTGGCATAGCAGGTAAAGCTACCGCTTACAGTGCTGGCATCCCATATGGGCACCGGTTCCTGTCCCAGCTGCTCCACTTCCGATCCAGGTCTCTGCTATGGACTGGGAAAGCAGTGGAGGATGGCCCAAGTGCTTGGGTCCCTGCACCCACGTGGGAGACCTGGAAGAAGCTCCTGGCTCCTGGCTTCGGATCGGCGCAGTTCTGGCCATTGCGGCCAATTGGGGAGTGAACCATCGGATGGAAGACCTCTCTCTCTCTCTCTGCCTCTCCTCTCTCTGTGTAACTCTTTCAAATAAATGAATAAATCTTAAAAAAAAAAAAAAAAAAAAAAGGAAGACAATGTAATTAAGTTGGCATGGGCCCAGCAACTTGAGCTGTGTTTCTATAGAGATTTGTCTCGGATTTCTCCTTAAACTGCCTTAGCATTTAAATTTTTAAAAAAGAAGCCTGGCATTTCCCCTCCACATTTACAGTTCAGCACTAGCATCAGTTCTTGGCACCAGGAATCACGCACCGCCAAACTGTGGCCTCCTGGGTCTCAGAGGGGTTCCATGGGGGAGTCCCGGGCAACACTAACGGGCCAGCACTTTTGGATCGCTTGAATCTAAACACATGTGGGAGTACCTTGTTCCAGGTTAGTGACACTCAGACTGAAGGGTCCACGCTGACATCTGTTTAGCATTTCAACTGTGCATTACAGTATGACATACACTACAGCATTGTACTCCTGTGGTTAGTGGCTTCCCAACAACACAGGGCTGGACCCGACTCAGGTCTATGGGAAGTGGAACACTGCTCTAACGTGCTCATGAGCAGGTGGCTCCCGCACACTAACAGTGCATTCACGGCACTGGCTCTTTATGTCTCATTTAGAAAATACTAAATTCACAATTAGTAAATAGTGAAAGCTTGTTTTTTTGAAAGTGCATGAAATAAGAACATTAATGGCCGAAGCCTGAGCATCAGGATTTTAACCAGTTCCTGGGTGAGGCTTGCAACTTCCAAGATCCCTGTGCAGAGTGAGGCAGGGCAAGCAAAGGTGGGCTGTATTCTATCAGCTGTTACCACTTCACACAAGGAAAATGAAAGCAAGGTCTTCCCATGCTTTCTTAGTAATTCACAACCTCCCCATGGTTCCCTCATTAAGACTTTTCAGCCTTATCTAGTGCTGCTTACCCAGGTCAAAGAAAAAAAAAATGGGGGAGGGGTGGACAAATAAGCACTTGCATATAAACAACTGCAAAGATACAACCACAAATTGCTTGGAACACATTTTCCGTAGGATACTTTTGGGGGGCTGCCTTGCTGCCTGCACAAGCATCCCATTTGGGTGGCGGTTCGAGACCCGGCTGCTCCACTTCCAGCTCTCTGCTAATGTATCTAGAAAAAAGCGGGAGGTGGCTCAAGTGCTTGGGCCCCTGCACCCACATGGGAGACCCAGATGAAACTCCTGGCTCCTGGCTTCAGCATGGCCCGGCACTGGGTGTTGTGGCCATTTGGGGAGCTGAACCAGCGGATGGAGGATTTCTCCCTCTCCCTCTGTAATTCTGCCTTTTCAAATAAGCAGAGAGATAATGTTTTAAAGCCATTTCTGACTGCAGTTCTCCATGGGAAGAAGAGCAGCGCATGGCCACCCCTCACAGGAGACCCGGCAGCTCTGGCAACGCTGGTCTTGACAAACCCAGCAGGTTTCCTGGAAGATTTCCGAGGCCTTCTAAGAACAGCGGCCATGCTACAGTGTCACCAAGAACAGGGCAGTGCCAGTCACAAGAATCGCTAAAGCGGCCCCACTGCACCTCGACCTTGGAGCAGAAACCTTTGCAAGCTTACCACCTGTCTTAGGAGGGAGCTGGAAACCTCCCACCAGGCCCTCTCTCCTCGCCCTGCTTGAAATGCCTTTTCCACAGGTCTGGGCACCTGCCAGGTGACCGTCTGACTGCCCAGTGCGGGCCAGCTCTCATCCTAACAAACAGGCACATTTCTTCAGGGCTCCTGCCTGGCCTGGACTCACTCAGCAGCACCCCAACCGGATTCACACGGGACTCCCCGCCAAGAAGGCAAACTCCACCCGGCCAGAGCCGCCTCTGCTGTGTCTCCAGGAGCTCACAGCCTTCCAAGCCTGACGCCTGCTCCCCTAATGCCCTGCACACGTTATCTGTTGCCGGGAAGGAGCGGCAGGCCAGGACAGATGGTGACAGGCGGATCTGGCTTGAGGGATACATTTTCTTTTGAATTTGAGCCTCTCCCTGGGGCTGTAAAACTCCAAATCAAAGTCTTAATCTGAGACTGTACACATTTGAAAGAGTCCGGGTTGATAAACATTTACTCAACACTAATAAAAGGTACAAGTTGTTGATCCTGACTATGCAGGACAGAAAAAAAATTTTTTTTTTTTTTAACAAGGCGCCGATTCCAAGGCGTTTACGATCTTAAAAGAATAGACGAGCCCCCTTGTAACTAGCCAAATGCAACCTAGAGAGGCTATAAATAAAGCAAGAGTTATCTGGGAGGAAGAGATAGATTAATCTATTGCTAACTCCTCCTTTAATCCCACGGCAAAGACAGTAAATCCAAATCCGAAAAGGTCAAAACTGGAACATCCCGAGGAGCTCGCTGAAATCCAGAAGTCGCCCCCTTCGCAGGGGCTAACGTCACAGCCGCAGGCGAATCTCAAGCTACCCAGAGAGGAAAAACACTCAGGGTACCAGCGCGGAGGAAACTTGGAAAAGCAGATCACGTAAACAGGCCGTTCACAGCCTCGCGTTCCCACCCAGAGACCCCCGAGCCCCCCGCCCGCGGCCCCAACGCTCGCGCTCCCCGCAGATCCCGGGCCCGAGCCCCCGACGCCCCCCGAGACCTCTCCCCGAGCGCAGGTTCGGGTCCCCACGCCGCAGAGACCCGAGCCCGCTCGTCCCCCGGGCCTCCTACCGTAGGTTTCGGACATGGCCGTCTGCGACATCTTGGGAGCGGCACGGCCTCTGGCCGGGTCACGGCTGCAGCTGGGGTGAGCGGCGGGAAGGGAGGGCCGGGAGGTCTGTGTGCCGCGCGTCCAGACGGCGAGGGGCGTGGAGCGGGGTGGGTGGGGAACCCGAGGAGGGAGGGGCCGGACCGGTCCCCAAGGCAACCGCCCACCCGCACCGCCGCGGCCCTATAGGACTCCGGCTCCGCGCAGGCGCACGGCCCTCGGCCCTCGGCCCTCCTCCGGCCCGGGCCTGGAGCTGGAGGAGGAGGAGCAGGAGGAGGAGGAGAAGGAGGAGCCAGGCCCCCCCTCCCGCGGCCGCGCGTGCGCATGGGGAGGCCGGGCGAGGCGCACAGGCGCGCGCGGGCGCACAGGGCGCGCGCCAATACGCACAGCTTCCATCCACTGGTTCACTCCCCCGATGTCCACAAGGGCGGTGGCTGAGCTGAGGCCAAGAGGGGAGCCAGGATCCCAATTCGGGTCTCCATGTGGGTGGCAGGAACTCAGTAACTGGAGCCATCTCCACTACCCCCCCCCGGGGGGGGGCACATTAGCAGGAATCTGGAGTCAGAAGCTACCGCTTCGTATGGAACCTGCCTACTTTGATAGTGTTAGGAAACTGGCACAGTTTTAGCCAGGTGGCCACATGGCCCAGCTACCTGAGCCAGGCTCCACCCCCATCCTAATGGGATTCGCTGCTCCTGCTTCCCTGCCCGCCCTCAGGCAAAGTTTTAAAAGGGCCTGTTCCTGAACACGTGCTCTCTTGGGCTCTGCTCCCTGCTCTCTTGGCCCTTCTCTCTTGCTCTCTCTCGGTTCCTCTCTCTAGCCTCCTCCTCTGGTCTCTTGGCTCTTGGTTCTTCTCTCTTGGCTCTGCTCTATCTTCTCTCCTTGCTAGCTCCTCTCCTCTCTGTTTCTCTCTTATATTCTCTTTCTCTCTTTTTCCTTCGCAGCCCCTTCACTCCGGTCTGTAGGGTGTTCTCCAGTAAACCCTTTCCCTTACTCCGGTGTCCGGTGTGCTTTGCGACGGCTAACATTAATATATAACAAGTGGAACAAAGGTGATGTGGAAGGGAAATAAACTGAAAGATAAGGAGCTGAAACATTTTTTTTTTAGACATTTTCAGAGGCGTTGTAGGCCTTCAGAATTCTGCAGTTTCAAGCCACTCTATCTCCAGCTGAGTATAAACACTGCTTTTCAAATGATTGATGTTTTTCCTTAGCAAAGACCCACCCAAGTCTGGTTGCAGCTGGGCGGGGGAGGTGGGAGGTTCTGCGCGTGCGCGGCGGCCCCGCCCACTGGCGCATGGCGGCGGTTGCTCGGCGACCGTCATCCGGAGCTGAGGAGTTGGAGACCGCGGACCTGCCTTGCGGGGACGTGGTGGCCAGACGGCTCGTTTTCTCGGATTTTGGGCTCCGGAGGTGGCGGAAAGCCGCCGTCCGCTTCAGAAATGAAGCGATTTCTTTCCTACTCAGCCATGAGGCGCCAGGTGCTCCAGACGTCCTCCGACGGGCGCGGGAACGGGCTGGAGGTTCGACCCCAGTTCCGTGGCAGCATCGTGGAGGAGGAACTCGGGGAGCTCCACAGGGCTGCCAGCGAGGGGGGACGCGTACAGGATTCGCCTCCTTCTCCTGCGTCGGAGAAGCAGAGTTAACGACAGAGACGAGGGCAACAGGTAACGGTGCGCAAGCCGGCGGGGCGGGCGGACGAAGCGCTCCCCTCCCGCCTCTCCGGTCCCTGCGCGGTGGCCTCGCTTCCCGCACCCGGGACGGGGACCCGCTGAGCGCCCCGCCGCGCCCAGGTGTAGGGGACTGCAACTTTAAAGGGATTTTGAACTCCTCATTTATGGACCGGTTAGTGTGACTCAGCCCACAAGTTAATCCTGTGCAGCCGCTCGTCACAACCCTATAGTGAGAGCATTTCCATGGTCAGTCCTGGGCTAGAGTTCTTTGAATAAAATCCGATGACCCTGCACGCCTGTGTGTCCGTGTTCTGGAGAGGGGGATCTGTGGCTGGAAACACTGAAGGGGGACGATGCCTGTGTGTTCCTTAAGTGTTTATCAGTTTCACTTAAATCACAAGAAGTATCCAAGTCTTAAAAGTTTTGAGTTATATATTCTGCCTGCCATGTACTGTGGTGGTGGCATTAAGTCATAATGTAGTGAGCAAAATTCCATATATAAAAATTTGGTGTTAATTTCCAGAAGCTAACCACTTACCTACAGTCGAAAAGGCCAATAGATGAAGCACTGAGTAGGACATTCAGAAACATCAAAATCCATGCAAGGATTTAGAAATTAATACTGGTTACATTTAATATTATTAGGAAAACATGAATTATTTATGAATGAAATGCCTCTTAACTGGAGGAAACCAGCTTGATTTTTAATGTTACAAAACTAAGTTCCTGGTGGGATAAAAAGTAAAAATAAAAAAAACACAATGAGAAAAGTTCTTGGAGAAAAACACAGATGTTCATCAGTATATTTTCTCTCTCTCTCTCTCTCTCTTTTTTTTTTTTTTTTTTTGACAGGCAGAGTGGACAGTGAGAGAGAGAAACAGAGAGAAAGGTCTTCCTTTGCCGTTGGTTCACCCTCCTATGGCCGCCGCGGCCGGCGCGCTGTGGCCACCGCACCGCGCTGATCTGAAGGCAGGAGCCAGGTGCTTCTCCTGGTCTCCCATGGGGTGCAGGGCCCAAGCACTTGGGCCATCCTCCCTGCACTCCCTGACCACAGCAGAGAGCTGGAATGGAAGAGGGCCAACCGGGACAGACTCCAGCGCCCCGACCGGGACTAGAACCCGGTGTGCCGGCGCTGCAAGGTGGAGGATTTAGCCTAGTGAGCCGTGGCGCCGGCCTATATTTTCTCTTAACAAAGATCTTAAGATGATATCAGAAGCATTTTGAAAGTTTAGTTAGCAAAATAACATTTATAGCTCTGTATCAAGAAAAGTTACAAAATAAAAGACAACATACTTGCAAAAACATTCACAGCATATATATTTTGGATGAAACATCTTCATTTTTACACAATTTATTCAAGTGAACAAAAAAGTTGGACTCTAATTTGAAATTGGGCGTAGTTTTTTGCAGATTGCAAGTGATCCATAGACATAGAAAACAGTATTTAGCAATCCTGGTGAGAGAAGAAATTTAAGTTGAAAGAGGAATGAAAAATTGTTCCATCCACATAGTTTTTGAGAATGAAGAGTAGTGTTATGTTTGCCACTGCTTAAAGTTTAAATTGCTTATGAATTTTGGAATAGAGGATTTGGTGGAAAATACTGTATCACATTTTAAAAATATATAGGCCATCTACCCTTCAATTCTATTCCATCAAATCATCTTTAGGAAACAGACATAGGATTTGTTTCTAAGGATTTCTTTCTCCCATTACTGCTTGTTGTAATAATGTATTAATAAGAACCCATAGAATGGATTTTATAAGTTAGAGAGCATACATTGATAAGAGACCACTGAATGTGGGATAGACACTGATGTATGTGAACATGCAAATAGGCAATTTGTCATGAGAAAAAAGGCAGCTTAATTATACATTTATATAGACTATGCCCTTATAGTAGCCAGCAAAATGTACAGAATGTAGTAAATTCTGTAATTTGGGGGTATTTGAATTATATGTGAAATTTTCTTATCTATGATTTCCAGGGTGAACATTTGTAAGAAACTCAAATAATAAAGTGTATTATTGAGATAATCCTTGGGATGGGGAGAAATATGCATCCACAGATAAATATAATTTCTCACTTAATATTTGTATCTCTGTGTGGGGTTTGGTATGTCCTGCCAATGTTTAGCCTCATGCAGAGTAAAGGGAATCATTTTTATCTACTTGTGTCATTATGTAGACCTTTTGTCATATACATTTGTTTTTACTATATATATATTTATTATAAAAATGAATATTGATTAATTTTAGTTGGGATGTGTCCTTCTGTAAAGGAAAAATAACAAACATAAATGACTGTTATTTATTATTGTAGAAATTTGATTTATATTATAAAAGCTTTCTTTAAAGATATTGAAATCCCCAAGTGGTTTTATTCATCAACCAACTTACTCATCAACTGTAACCTGAATACATGTTATGTAACAGACAGGCATATTCTGTATCTGAGATCTCTTGTATCCTTTACAAGTTTATGTTCCCCTGCCCATCCTCATTAAATTGAGAGATTTAAAATTGAAGTACTAGGACTCAATCTCATTGGAAAGTGTTCTTTGCTCCTTTCAAATAAAAGTGTTTGTGAAAGGCATTATAAAATATAATTTTAGCTCTCATTGTATGAATATTAAATACTAATACGAGTCATTAGATTTTTCATTCATTCTCAGTGTAAATGAAGAGTACAGTCAGGCATAGGTATTCATTTGAATCTCAAGTTTCCTTTGACTTTAATTTTGAAAATTGAAAAATACTTTGTTTTTAAGTATTTTTGTTACCTCAGCCCTCTTCCTTAAGGACTTAGAAACTGAAATTTACATAAATGCAATCTATATATAACTAGAACTGCCATAGACCCGCTGTATATGCCATGTGCCATGTAGCACTAAACACAACACCATGGATTGTGTGATGCCCATTTTATGTGTCAATGAGAGGATTTTTCTTTTTTCTTTTTTTTTTTTAAAGAGAATGAAAATTTTAATAAGTAATCATTATTTGTTTTTTTTTTTTATCTTTTATTTAATGAATATAAATTTCCAAAGTACGACTCATGGGTTACAATGGCTTCCCCCCCCATACCGTCCCTCCCACCAACAACCCTCCCCTTTCCCACTCCCTCTCCCCTTCCATTCACATCAAGATTCATTTTCGATTATCTTAATATACAGAAGATCAGCTTAGTATACCTTAAGTAAGGATTTCAACAGTTTGCTCCCACACAGAAACATAAAGTGAAAAATAATAGATGATTTTTTTTAAATGATGATGAAATCAGATCAGACCTATTGTCATGTTTAATCCCAGTGAGAGTCAAGTTGGGAATTGAAAATTTCTTTCTTTTTTTTTTCTTTTTTTTTTTTTTTTACAGAAGATCAGTTTAGTGTACATTAAGTAAAGATTTCAGTCGTTTGCACCCCCATAGAAACACAAAGTGAAATATACTGTTTGAGTACTCGTTATAGCATTAAGCCTCAGTGTACAGCACGTTAAGGACCGAGATCCTACATGAGGAGTAAGTGCACAGTGACTCCTGTTGTTGACTTTACCAATTGACACTCCTGTTTATGGCATCAGTAATCTCCCTATGCACCAGTCATGAGTTTCCAAGGCTATGGAAGCCCCTTGAGTTCTCCGACTCTTATCTTGTTTAGACAAGGTCATAGTCAAAGTGGAGGTTCTCTCCTCCCTTCAGAGAAAGGCACCTCCCTCTTTGAAGACCTGTTCTTTCCACTGGGATCTCACTCACAGAGATCTTTTTGCCAGAGTGTCTTGGCTTTCCATGCCTGAAATACTAATGAGAGGATTTTTCAAATGCTGCAAATTAGAGTGGAAATAGTCATGAATTATGATAAGGATCACCCAATGCCAGATAAGTAAAAATGAGAGGAAATGAGCATGTTTGAGTCATTGAAATACAGTATTATTGGCCGGTGCCACAGCTCACTAGGCTAATCCTCTGCCTGCGGCACCAGCACCCCGGGTTCTAGTCCCAGTCGGGGCACCGGATTCTGTCCCGGTTGCCCCTCTTCCAGGCCAGCTCTCTGCTGTGGCCCAGGAGTGCAGTAGAAGATGACCCAAGTGCTTGGGCCCTGCACCCGGATGGGAGACCAGGAGAAGCACCTGGCTCCTGGTTTCGTTTCGTTTCGTTTCCTTTTCTTTTCTTTTTCTTTTTCTTTCTTTCTTTCTTTTTTTTTTTTTTTTTTTTGGACAGGCAGAGTGGACAGTGAGAGAGAGACAGAGAGAAAGGTCTTCCTTTGCCGTTGGTTCATCCTCCTATGGCCGCCGCAGCCGGCGCGCTGCGGCCACCACACCGTGCTGATCTGAAGGCAGGAGCCAGGTGCTTCTCCTGGTCTCCCATGGGGTACAGGGCCCAAGCACTTGGGCCATCCTCCACTGCACTCCCAGGCCACAGCAGAGAGCTGGCCTGGAAGAGGGGCAACCGGGACAGACTCCGGTGCCCTGACCGGGACTAGAACCCGGTGTGCCGGCGCTGCAAGGTGGAGGATTAGCCTAGTGAGCCACGGCGCCGGCCATCCATGCTCTTTCTTTTCAAACAGACTGCTCTTTAATTAGTGTAGTGAGCAATAAAAGCTCATAAATGCTATGTTTCTTCAGGAGAAAAAGACTTCAAGATTGAAGAATATGTTATTGAATACTTACAGTTGCCTGAATAATTATCTGTAAGGAGATTGTACACTATCATTTTCATAAAAGCCCTCTCGTTTTCACAGGACTGCTCTGCATTTGGCCTGCACCAATGGCCATGTAGAAGTCGTGAAGCTCCTGATAGAGCAGCATTGTCAGATCGATGCCATTGACAATGTGAACATGACACCGCTGATGAAGGTATACAGTACCCAATGTTTCTAATGTGTGGAAGATTTTGTTTACATTCACAGAGTAAAAATGAATTTATATAATTTAATTGTGGAAGCAGTGTAATATTTATTTTGTATTCCTAGAAATTGCAATCTATTTATTGGTGTATTCCTGACAGGCCACACAATATAACCATGAGGAGTGTGCTGCAATCCTACTACATCATGGTGCTGACCCAAACCATATGGATGAGAATGGCAACATTGCCCTTCATTATGCTGCCTATAATGAGAACCTAAAAATAGGCAAACAACTGCTTCTGCACAATGCAGATATTGAAAGAATAAATAAGGTACAGTTCAACCAATGTATTTTCAAACTATTTGAAATACCTTTGTTTTAATATTCTTATGTGTAGAGTCAGTCTTCCATATTTGGAAACTCAAGCATGTATAGAATAAAAATATTCTAGATGATCATTTATCATTTCACTTTATACATTGATACTTTTATGAAAGAATTTGAGTGCAGACTCCTTGTATGCATTTATAGACAGTATTTGTGTACACAGTGGGGTTGTTAATGTTAAAACCTTTTTTTCATGTATCTTCACATTCACATTTTTTCTATTATAATACAAAATAGGAAAGCAAATTTTATCTTGTGAATAGCTTCAGATTAAAACGCAAGACAAAATTGTTATATAGAAATCTTACTGTTGTCAATTTTCTGAATAAATTAATGTATTAAAAATGAAGTAATCTCACTGGCAAGGACCACTAGTGAAACTTGGAGAGAGAAAAGGAGAGAGCCATCAGAAATTTGGAAATTAGTTAATTGAGGAGAAATACTATGATGATATTTTGGTCTTTTTTTCTTCTATGTTTAGACAAAGTGTTCTTCAGTTTTGGGTATAATTGTTCATACTATGGTAAATGGAGTTACTGATTTCTAAACTTGCCTTGAGACTCATTTTAGAAGCATTTGGGGAAAACCAGATATGGAGAGAATAGGAGGCAATCAAGTGGCAAAGGAGGTGAAAGAATTCATAATTAACTGACAGTCTGTGGTTGAAACGAACTGCTCAGATAAGAGTTTAAATTCAGTTTTCAAATCTATAGTGTCTTGATGGTTCTCGCACGTGGGGTCAGGGACCCAAGGACTTGGACCATCCTATGCTGCTTTCCCAAGTGCATTGTCAGGGAGCTGGATTAGAAGTGGAGCAGCTGGGACTTGAACTAGTGCCTTTATGGGATGCTGGTGTTGGAGATGGCAGCTTAATCTGCTATGCCATAAAACCGGCCCCCAAGAAAAAGTATAAATTGTTTGATTTGTTTAATATAGTACTGTATTTTTTTTATTTTTTATTTAGTAAACATAAATTTCCAAAGTACAGTTTATGGATTACAATGGCCCCCCCCCCCATAATTTCCCTCCCACTCGCACCCCTCCCATCTCCCACTCCCTCTCCCAATTCCATTCACATCAAGATTCATTTTCAATTATCTTTATATACAGAAGATCGATTTGGACCCACACAGAAACACAAAGTGTAAAATACTGTTTCAGTACTAGTTATAGCATTACTTCACATTGGACAACACACTAAGGACAGATCCCACCTGAGAAGTAAGTACACAGTGACTCCTGTTGTAGAGCCTAGGGAGATTACTGACCCCATAAACAAGAGTACTATATTTTTAACAGTTGTGTGTACCAGAATTCTAAGTATTATGATCTTTAGAATTTGTGTATGGGTATGAAGCATTTTATTCTTCATCAAATGGAACAGGTGAAAGCATTACCACTAAGGTTTCTCTTTTTAAAATGTATGCTATTTATCTAAAGGAAACAAATTTTTTGGTAACTCACATATACAGTTTTAAGAACATAATTAGAGGGAAGAGTTAGGGAGAAAACAGCAGAGGAAACTCTACATAAATTGGAGGAACACAGTGGACTTATGTGGAGGGCGAAGACACACACAACTTAGGACCCCACCAGCCCAGAGCCTCTGTACCAGCATTGGAGAGCAAGGTGAGACCAGACTGCAGCAGCCTAAGCAACTGGTGAAAAATCTTCAGGAATAGCCTAGAGGGAATCCAGCTTGGAGCCCTGTGGTGGATAGTGTACTCACCAAACTAGAGGAGAAAAAACAAAGTGGGGGCACTTTTCTCTCTCCCTGATCATCCTGCAAAGGCATCCTGTAACAAGCTGACAGAAGGTGCCATTTTGGACAATCCTAACAGCTGCACCAGCTCCTGACGGCGCCCAGCAACCATCCAAGTGGAGACTCCTGAGTCTGGTGAGGAGAATAGACAGGGGGCTGTGTACTCTTGACTATGGGAGGCTTGTGTTCTGGGACTGTGAAAAAAATGAGGCTGTGTGGGAGGACCCAGGGTGTGGCTGGGACATTGGGCAGTCACTGTGGGAGGCTCCACATGATCAGGGGGGATCCCTAATTACCCAGTGAGAGGTATTGCTGGGAAATCTGAGCTTATACTGAGGACTGCATAGATCCTTTGTGTGGTCTTTGTGGCACAGAGGCAACCAAGAGAATGGGAGAAATTATTAGCAAACAATACAATCGATAAAGGATTAAAAACCAGTATATATAAAAAGATCAAGAAACTCCACAACATCAAAACATGCAACCCAGTTAAGAAATAGGCCAAGGAAATAAACAGACATTTTTCAAAAGAAGAAATCCAAATGGCCAGCAGACACATGAACAAATACTGAGGATCACTAGCCATCAGAGACATGCAAATCAAAAGCATAATGAGGTTTCACCTCATCCCAGTTAGAATGGCTTTCATACAAAAATCAACAAGCAACAAATGCTGGTGAAGATGTGGGGTAAAAGGTACCCTAATACACTGTTGATGGGAATGTAAACTGGTAAAACCACTATGGAAATCAGTTTGGAGATACCTCAGAAATCTGAATATAGACCTACCATATGACCCAGCCTTCACACTCCTGGGGATTTACCCAAGGAGAATAAATCAACAAATAAAGGAGTTGTCTCTGCACCCCCATGTTTATTGCAGCTCAATTCACAATAGCTAAGACATGGAATCAACCTAAATTGCTGCAGACTGGATAAAGAAATTTTGGGATATGTACTCTGTGGAATACTGCACAGTGGTAAAAAAATGAAATCCGTAATTTGCAACAAAATGGGTGAATCTGGAAAACATTATATTTAGTGAAATAAACCAGTCTCAAAGGGACAAATTCCATATATTCTCCCTGATTTGTGATAACTAATAGAGCATCTAAAAGGAAATCGGTAGAAGTAAAATTGACACTTTGAGAAGCAATGACTTGAACAGTCCTTGTCTTGACTGTCAAGGAACAGTTTTTTTTTTTTTAATGGAGAATGAGAGTGGGGAAGGGAGGGGGAGGAGGAGCTGGGGTGGGAGTGAGGGTGAGAAGGCAGATATGATGGGAAGAATCACTGTATTCCTAAAGTTGTACTTATGAAATCTGTACTCATTAAATAAATGGTTTCTTTGGGGGAAAAACATAATTACACTTCCCACTCTCTCCCCCTCTTTCCCTTGCTTCCACACTCTCTCTTCCATCCTTATTGTCCTCTTAGTGTTTGCAATGGTATGCTTTGGATTTGCTTTATAATCACAAGCTAAATCCTCCACTAAATAAAAGTTCAACAAATAGTACATAGAAAAAACACTATTTTTAAGGATGTAGACAAGGGCTGTAAATAATAATCAAATCTCAAAATGTCAATTTTTAGTCTGATCTACTCCTCCCCAAGAAAATTAAATAGAATTTTCAGTGAGTCTGTCTCTTAATCATTTCTCTTTGGTCGAGTCCACAAATGGTGAAGGAAACTGGTCTTTTGGGCGAGAAAAGAGATGAAAGTGGTAGTTGTATCTTGTACTAGTTCTCAGCTGGAATTGTACACCACAGTGACCTGTGGATATTTCAAGAAGACTTGCAAGTCTAGGCTCATCATATGAATAAAAGGCATGGAAATGAATATTTAGAGTATTTAAAAATATTTCTTTGAGATTCTGAAAAACTCCTGGTTAACTTCCCAGATCTCCAAAACTTAAGAGATCTTTAGCACAGTTGGAGTTTGTTAGAAGCTACTTCCCTTAGCCCTATTCCAACAGTGTAAACCTTTCATCATTTTTTCTCCTCTTCTGTAGTTGGGAATAATATTGGTGATGACTCTCAGCTTACAGAATAGCACCCTCTAGCGGCCAAAGATTAGTCATTCCCTGCCAATCTATGCAGCTTCAGAAATTTGCTTATGGATAGTCTTTTAATAAGTAGAGGCTGATCTTTGAAATATTCCATCTCTTGGGTATGATTATTCAGGTCATGAGATTAATAAATGTTTAATACAGTAGGGTTTCCATGATTAGAATAAGAGGAAATTGAGTCTGAGCGGCGATGGCGGCGGCGGCGGCAGCAGCAGCAGCAGCGAGGGCTGCGGAGGCTGCGGGGGCTGCGGGCGGTCGGGGCTCCGGGCCGTGGCGGCGGCGCCACCTTGTGGCCGGGGCCGGAGGGGAGGCCTGGGAGGGGGCCCCGGGGGGCGCAGGCCTGGAGTCTGAGGACCTGGAGCCTGGGGAGCTGCTGCCAGAGCCCGAGCCCGAAGAGGAGCCTCCCCGGCCCCGCGCACCCCCGGGAATTCCGGGCCCTGGGCCTGGCTCGGGAGCCCCCGGCAACCAGGAGGAGGAGGAGGAGCCGGGACTGGTCGAGGGTGATCCGGGGGACAGCGCCATTGAGGACCGGAGCTGGAAGCGATCAAAGCCCTAGTCAGGGAGGTGGAGGAGGAAGCTGAGAAGCTAAAAGAGCTGCAGAACGAGGTAGAGAAGCAGATGAATATGAGTCCACCTCCAGGCAATGCTGGCCCAGTGATCATGTCTATTGAGGAGGGGATGGAGGCTGACGCCCGTTCCATCTATGTTGGCAATGTGGACTATGGTGCAACCGCAGAAGAGCTGGAAGCTCACTTTCATGGCTGTGGTTCAGTCAACCGTGTGAGGATACTCTGTGACAAGTTCAGTGGCCATCCCAAAGGGTTTGCGTATGTAGAGTTCTCAGACCAAGAGTCGGTGAGAACTTCCCTGGCCTCAGATGAGTCCCTATTTAGAGGAAGACAAATCAAGGTGATTCCAAAACGAACCAACAGACCAGGCATCAGCACAACAGACCGGGGTTTCCCACGTGCCCGCTACCGTGCCAGGACCACCAACTACAACAGTTCCCGCTCTAGATTCTACAGTGGTTTTAACAGCAGGCCCCGGGGTCGCATCTACAGGGGCCGGACTAGAGCGACATCATGGTATTCCCCTTACTTAAAAAAAGTGTGTATTAGGAGGAGAGAGAGGAAAAAAGGAGGAAAGAAGGAAAAAAAAAAGAATTAAAAAAAAAAACAATCAGAAGATGACCTTGATGAAAAAAAATATTTAAAAAAGATATACTGTGGAAGGGGGGAGAATCCTATAACTAACTGCTGAGGAGGGGCCTGCTTTGGGGAGGAGGGGAAGGCCCAGGGAGTGGGGCAGAGGCTGCTCATTCACTGTGGGGATTCGCCATGGACGCGTCTCAACTGCGCAAGCTGCTCCCCGTGTTTCTCTGCCGCACTCCACCCCCTTGGAGGCTGCCCAAGGGTGGGTGGGCAAGGGTGGTGGGAGGGTCTTTTTACCCAGGGCTCTGGAAGGACACCAAACTGTTCCGCTTGTGACCTTCCCTCCATCTCCTCCTGCCTCTCACAGTCCCCTCCTGCCTGCTCCTGTCCTGCCAGATCTGCCGCCCACCCCACCCTTCTTTTTCCGGCCCCCTGCCCCTGCAGATTGCCTGGTGATCTATTTTGTTTCCTTTTGTGTTTCTTTTTCTGTTTTGAGTGTCTTTCTTTGCAGGTTTCTGTAGCCAGAAGATCTCAGTTCCACTCCCAGCGGCTCCCCTCTCCCCTGGGGAAATGCACTACCTTGTTTTGGTTTTTTTTTTTTTGTTTTTCTGTTTTTTTTTTTTTTCTTTGCCTTTTTTCCCTTTTATTTGGAGGGAATGGGAGGAAGTGGGAACAGGGAGGTGGGAGGTGGATTTTGTTTATTTTTTTAGCTCATTTCCAGGGGGTGGGAATTTTTTTTTAATATGTGTCATGAATAAAGTTGTTTTTGAAAATAAAAATTGTTTGGCAAAAAAAAGAATAAGAGCAAATTGTGAACATTTTTCTAGTTGAAGTATGTAATAGACTATCTCTGTATGTCTGTTAAGTTCATAGAACCCTGGCACCTAATCATTATGGCAGATTTAAAACTGAAAACCATGATGTTGGTAAGAATACAGATGGAAATTCTTTTAATAGTTTAGTATCAACAATCTTTTGAACTAAATATTTACATTTGATAAACAATCTGGCATGTTTAAATACAAATGGAGTGTAATTAAGTGTTAGAAATTTGTATATTTGGCATTATGAGTCTTTTATGACATATTAGGCTTGATATTTGATAAAATAGAGCATACTAAAGAAAGTAAAGGTTTTACATGTCAATACTTGTTTTATACAAAACCAGTTAGAATCACATCTCCAGCTGATAGAAAACCATGAGGAAATTGAATGAATGTGGTTCAGAGATTGTGTAATTTGCTTCAATGAATTATATCAATGTATAAGATATAGGGGACCCAGGCGGTAGCTGAATTTCATGGTTCTCTTAAAGAATCAAATCGGGTGTCCTTGACCTCATAATACTGAGTGGTATGCCATGCAGAGGCTGTCCCCTTCAGTACAAGGCATGTGTCTTCCAGTTGCTACTGTCTGCACCTGTGCAATGTGTGGTGCATAGTTCTGTAATCTTTCTCAAGCATAGGTGATCATGGAATCCTGTTGAGGCTCAATACATAATTTGTGCAGAAGTAAATATTCTTGGAAATTATATATATATATATATAAACATATATAGAAAGAGAGAGAGATACATTGCTATAGATCATCAGTTCAATAAAAACACTTAAAGCTTCTAAAACTGTGTCTTAGGATGTTGGGATACAGAGTTAAAAAATAACAGCCTTTGCCCTCAAGAGGTTCTTGGTTTGTATGGGAAGCAATCACATAATTGGAATATGCTATGAAGACCACTTTAAGAGAAGCAAAGACTCTTGTAACCAGTAAACGTTTAAAGTGTAGTTTAGAAATGACGATTTCATGCAATGAGGCAACTGGGAGGCGGTTTTTTAAAGGAAGGCACAGCACATGTGAAGGCACGGAGGTGAAAGTGAAGAGTGTCGCTCCCCCATTCGCGGAGGAACGACACAGGACCCTGCACTGTTCTTTTGTCTGCTCGGCCCTTCCCGGGTTTGCTGCTGGTCCTTCCCGGGTTGGCTGCCGATCCTTCCACCTCCGTGGAAGGGCGGCTCCCCCTGCCACTTTCCCCACTTGCGCGGGGGAGCGGCACACCGCTGGCCGGCTCTCTCGGGGGCTGCTCAGATGTTATCCGGATGTTCCCCATAGATGTTCCTGGTGCATGTTGTCTCTCTCCTCCTTTATAGTCCTCTTCCACCAATCCCAACTCTGCTACCCACACGCCGAGTACGCTGCTCTCCTCCAATCAGGAGCAGAATCAGCTCCTGCAGGTTATTGGTCGAACTGGAGGCAGCTGTGTAGAGTTGTTTTCTCCTCTCCCAGCGCCATATTGTGGGAGAGCAGATGCATAGAATAAGTCTTAATTCCAGTAACTTAGTCTAGTCCGAGTTGCTCCCCACAAAGAGCCTAATGTACTTACATTCTATATTGTATGGCTTAAGTGTATAGAATCATTTGAAATGTTTCCAGTTCAGTTGAGAAATATGTAATATTGTGAACTATGAATTTTTTTACAGGATGGCTTCACACTACTTTTAATTGCTGTCCATGAAAATAGAGAGAAGACGGTGGAATTTTTAATTGTGAACAAAGCAGATATTTATGCAGTGGATAACATGAATAGGTACAATATTTCACTCTTTTATAACATTAGTAATGGTCTAGTGGCAATAGTCATTGAAGTCAGAAACATTAAATTAATAAAAATAAGATTAACATATTATTAAGATATAATGAAAATAGCCACACAACTCGTCTATTATTAAGGAAAGTAATTATTCAGACTGGGTAGCAAAAGGAACAATAAGTTATAATTGTCATACTCCCTTGTGATAGCAACTGGTTTTTTTTTGTTGTTGTTGTTTGTTTGTTTGACAGGCAGAGTTAGACAGTGATAGAGAGAGAGAGACAGGGAGAAAGGTCTTCCTTCTGTTGGTTCACTCGCCAATGGCCGCTACAGCCGTCGCAGTGCCCCAATCTGAAGCCAGGAGCCAGGTGCTTCCTCCTGGTTTCCCATGCGGGTGCAGGGCCCAAGCACTTGGGTCATCCTCCACTGCGTTCCCGGGCCACAGCAGAGAGCTGGGCTGGAAGAGGAGCAAGTGGGACAGAATCCGGCACCCCAACCGGGACTAGAACCCAGGGTGCCTGCGCCGCAGGTGGAGAATTAGCCTAGTGAGCCATAGCGCTGGGCAACAACTGGTGTTTTTTATTTAGAATCTGATTTGTTTTGGTTATATAACCTTTTATTCAGTTTTATTAGTTTGACAAAGTATGGACTTTTAGCTTTGAGTTCACTTTATGACTCAATATTGAGCTTTCTAATCTTTAGTATTTTAATATTTCTTACATACTTTTCTTTCTTTATTTCTTTCTTTTTTTTTTTTTTTTTCGACAGGCAGAGTGGACAGTGAGAGAGAGAGAGACAGAGAGAAAGGTCTTCCTTTTGCCGTTGGTTCACCCTCCAGTGGCTGCCGCGGCCGGCGCACTGCGGCCGGCGCACTGCACTGATCCGATGGCAGGAGCCAGGTGCTTCTCCTGGTCTCCCATGGGGTGCAGGGCCCAAGCACTTGGGCCATCCTCCACTGCACTCCCAGGCCACAGCAGAGAGCTGGCCTGGAAGAGGGGCAACCAGGACAGAATCCAGTGCCCTGACCGGGACTAGAAGCCGGTGTGCCGGCACTGCAAGGCGGAGGATTAGCTTAGTGAGCTGTGGCGCCGGCACATACCTTTCTTTTAAAGATGCTTTGTTAAACATAAATAGGAGTTGAAAATCATTTTGTCTCTTGAATGACTTTTTGCCTTAAATTACCTTCTCTTAAGAGGATTGGTGTTAGGTTATCACCATATGACTAAGTTGTTATTACAGATACTGTGGTTATATCAGGTTTGTTTGTTTTCTTTTTCATTTTCAGCACATTTTGATATTTTGCTTTATTTTTAAAGTTGTGCTTTAAAATTTTATCAGAGGGAGAGAGAGAGTTACATCCAGGGGGAGAGGGAGAGAGGGAGAGGCAGAGAGAAACAGAGAAATGCTATGGTATTACTGCCCAAATTCCAGCAACAACCCAGGCTGGGTTGAGTTGAAGCTTTGAGCAGAGAACACAATCAGCAATCAGGTCTCCCCTATGCATTGCAGGAGTCAGTTCTTTGAGTCATCACTGCTAATGCAAGGTCTGAATTGGTAGGAGCCTGGAATCAGAAGCTGCATCTTGGAATTAAACCTAGGTTCTCTGATGTGGGAAGAAAGCATCTTTAGCAGTGTGTTAACTGCCAGGTTAAATACCTGCTCTTGATTTTTTTTTTTTTTTTTGACAGGCAGAGTGGACAGTGAGAGAGAGAGACAGAGAGAAAGGTCTTCCTTTGCCGTTGGTTCACCCTCCAATGGCCACCGCGGCCAGCGCGCTGCGGCCGGCGCACCGCGCTGATCCGATGACAGGAGCCAGGTACTTATCCTGGTCTCCCATGGGGTGCAGGGCCCAAGCACTTGGGCCATCCTCCACTGCACTCCCTGGCCACAGCAGAGAGCTGGCCTGGAAGAGGGGCAACCGGGACAGAATCCGGTGCCCCGACCGGGACTAGAACCCTGTGTGCCGGCGCCGCAAGGCGGAGGATTAGCCTAGTGAGCCGCGGCGCCGGCCTGCTCTTGATATTTTTATTTGTAATTAATATGGGAAGAAGGAAGAAATAGAACTTTAGTTACATAAGCGTTTCCTTTCATGAAGATAGTGTGTGATAAAGTGAAAAGAAAAAAGACTGCATTTAATTCCCAGAAGTTCCAAATACAAGATATATGATCTTGGAAAGATTGCCTATGTAAGATTCTATGCATATAAAATTTCATTCAGTACCTACCACATGCTTTTCAGCATTGTTGAATCAAACTACTATCACCATTGTTACCATTATAGTAGTTTTAAGCCTGCAAATTGCTTTCACTTGTCTGAGTTCTTGTTGACTATAATATATATAGTATAGTAGGACAAACTAGGGGATAAATTGAGGGTTCTCTGTTTAAATCTTTGATTGAGATAAGTGATCTCAACAGAGTTATTTTTCATGAAATGACTTTAAATTAGCAGTTTCTCTTGTGGAATACCTCAGGGGCTGCCTTTTGATCTTTTTTCCTTTAGCCCTGGAGGTGATTTATAGAAATGAGTACTTGAGCTCCCAGAAGGCTTATGTCTTTTAATACATGTAAATGGTCAGTTCTACATAGGCAAACATTAAATGGGTAAAATACATCGAAATAGCTTTTTAAACAACTTTATTGAAGTTTTTAATAATGAAGTTATCTCTCTCTTATTTTAGAACAACCCTCATGTTAGCCCAACAGCATAGATCAACCAAAATAGTCAATCTTCTTCTGGAACAGAAGAATGATGTATCTCACCAAGATAGCCCTGGATGTCCTGCAGAGAAGTACGCTGTTCTTCAATTTAATATATTAGTCGTTGCATTCAAATACTAGTCAACAGCAAAGTGAAGTTTAAAATATTTATAGGTATTGCATGTTTTAGATGAGGTAAGATTTTGTGGTTTTGGAAATGACAGTGAGTCAGCATACTTCATCAGTCAGAAACCAAGCAAAAGTGTTTACTGGTTAGAAGTAGCAAAAGGTAAGAGATTGTTTATCTCAGGAATTTGAAGATATTTATGGTTAGCTATACCCACGTTGACCGATTCATTGCAAGTCTAACCCCTGTGGTTGGAGGTCCAAATAATGTCACATTTTTCACTTTTCTAATGAGTTAGGCCTTGAAAGGTCCAGTTTTGCAGGAGATCTTATATGTTCCTTCAGGAGCTATCTCCTAAATCCTTCCTGAGTTTCTCAGGGGCCAAAGGTGTTCCTTAAGTCAAACAAAGGCAATCTTCCTTCACAAGTCAGATGGGGATTAGTTGGAGACATTATAATAATTCTATTTTTTTTTTGACAGGCAGAGTGGACAGTGAGAGAGAGAGACAGAGAGAGAAAGGTCTTCCTTTTGCCGTTGGTTCACCCTCCAATGGCCGCCGCTGCAGCCGGCGCACCGCGCTGATCCGATGGCAGGAGCCAGGATCCAGGTGCTTATCCTGGTCTCCCATGGGGTGCAGGGCCCAAGCACCTGGGCCATCCTCCACTGCACTCCCTGGCCATAGCAGAGAGCTGGCCTGGAAGAGGGGCAACCGGGACAGAATCCGGCGCCCCAACCGGGACTAGAACCCGGTGTTCCGGCGCCGCAAGGTGGAGGATTAGCCTATTGAGCCACGGCGCCGGCTTAATTCTATTTTTTTTCTATTCCTTCACTGTTGCTATTGAAACTGCACTTGCAGTCTGATAATGACTGATCCAAGCTACCAGGATTTCCTCACTGATGCAAATCCCCACTCTTCATTGGTGATCCTTCCTTACACTTTTAGGCTAAAATGCTTTGTTGACTTACATATGCTTATGTACTCAGCCATTGTACCCAAAGCATCAGTACCCCACTCAGGCAGCTTGGCCTAGGTTTAACCACACACATACTGAGAAAATTGATTCATCCATTGAAAATCTTAGGTGAAATCCATATCTTAGCTTAATCCTTCAAGGTGACTTAGTTTTAAGGCTCTTGTTTGTCTTCTTTGCTAGCAAATACTCATTGGGATCATTTTAGTCTGTGATAGGTTCAGTAAATGTTTCAGTAAAATATCAGTGTCTCTATGCTTTGCTACCATATATGTACACTAAGGGCCACATAGGTCCTGTGTGCATCTTTTTTTGGGTTGTAGAATGCCCATGTATTATTCCCCAGAGTGGGGCATTAAGTGGGGTTGGCCCCTCAACTAATATGTTTTCTGCAATAATGAAAGTATGCCAAATAATAGAGTACTTCATCTCTACCTCAGATGTTCATAATAGTTTCAAATTCTGTCCTACAGGAAGCCATTCTTGAAAGTTCTCTGAATCTGAAGTAGGTTACTTGGATGAAAAAGTGCTGTGCTCCATCCATAAATCATCAGGTTCCAAGTATAGGATGAGGGTTTGGTCTTCCAAGTCAGCTGGAGTTGAACAGAGAGGTTAAGCATCATTCTAACAAAGATCAACTGGTTAAGAGTTCAGGATGTTAGAAGGAATTGTAGTAGTTTGCATCAGTTTTTGACAGTTTTCTGGCCTTTGTGTGAATGATTAAGTCAGTTATAGGGGAACATTTATGTGATCTAACTTAATGCAATGATGTATGTAGTTAAAATTATTAAGTAGCAGCCGGCGCCATGGCTCAATAGGCTACTCCTCCACCTTGCGGCGCCGGCACACAGGGTTCTAGTCCCGGTCGGGGTGCCGGATTCTGTCCCAGTTGCCCCTCTTCGAGGCCAGCTCTCTGCTGTGGCCAGGGAGTGCAGTGGAGGATGGCCCAAGTGCGTGGGCCCTGCACCCCATGGGAGACCAGGAGGAAGCACCTGGCTCCTGGCTTCGGATCAGCTTGGTGTGCCGGCCAGAGCACGCTGGCTGCAGCGGCCATTGTGGGGGTGAACCAACGGAAAAGGAAGACCTTTCTCTCTGTCTCTCTCTCTCACTGTCCACTCTGTCAAAAAAAAAAAAATTATTAAGTAGCTGAGATACCTGAGATAGCCAGAATTATAAGCCACATGGAACAGCCAATAACCAAAATTAATAACATTTTCTAAAAACTACCACATATATAACTAATAAAACCAAAGAAAAATACACATTAGATTTTCTTTGGGATTCCAAAATGCTTTAATGAATTTTTTTTTTTTATTTATTTTTTTTTTTATCTTTTATTTAATGAATATAAATTTCCAAAGTACGTCTCATGGGTTACAATGGCTTTCCCCCCCATACCGTCCCTCCCACCCACCACCCTCCCCTTTCCCACTCCCTCTCCCCTTCCATTCACATCAAGATTCATTTTCGATTATCTTAGTATACAGAAGATCAGCTTAGTATACCTTAAGTAAGGATTTCAACAGTTTGTTCCCACACAGAAACATAAAGTGAAAAATAATAGATGATTTTTTTTAAAATGATGATGAAATCAGATCAGACCTATTGTCATGTTTAATCCCAGTGAGAGTCAAGTTGGGAATTGATAGTTTCTTTTCTTTTTTTTTTTTTTTTTTTTAACAGAAGATCAGTTTAGTGTACATTAAGTAAAGATTTCAACAGTTTGCACCCCCATAGAAACACAAAGTGAAATATACTGTTTGAGTACTCGTTATAGCATTAAGCCTCAGTGTACAGCACATTAAGGACAGAGATCCTACATGAGGAGTAAGTGCACAGTGACTCCTGTTGTTGACTTTACAAATTGACACTCCTGTTTATGGCATCAGTAATCTCCCTATGCACCAGTCATGAGTTTCCAAGGCTATGGAAGCCCCTTGAGTTCTCCGACTCTTATCTTGTTTAGACAAGGTCCTAGTCAAAGTGGAGGTTCTCTCCTCCCTTCAGAGAAAGGCACCTCCCTCTTTGAAGACCTGTTCTTTCCACTGGGATCTCACTCACAGAGATCTTTTTGCCAGAGTGTCTTGGCTTTCCATGCCTGAAATACTCTCATGGGCTTTTCAGCCAGATCCGAGTGCCTTTAGGGCTGATTCTGAGGCCAGAGTGCTATTTAGGACATCTGCCATTCTATGAGTCTGCTGAGTATCTCACTTCCCATGTTGGATCACTCTCCCCTTTATTTATTCTATCGGTTAGTGTTTTAAGAATAACTGTGTGATAATTACAGAATTGAACCAGTCATATTAAGTAGAACAGACAAAAAAAAAAAATACTATGAGGGATAATGTATTAAGTTGTCCATTAGCAGTCAGGGCTATGCTGATCAAGTCACCATTTCTCATAGTGTCCATTTCACTTCAGGAGGTTTCCTTTTTGGTGTTCAGTCAGTTGTCACCGATCAGGGAGAACATATGGTATTTGTCCCTTTGGGACTGGCTTACTTCACTCAGCATGATGTGTTCCAGATTCCTCCATTTTGTTGCAAATGACTGGATTTCGTTGTTTCTTACTGCGGTATAGTATTCTAAAGAATACATATCCCATAATTTCTTTATCCAGTCTACCATTGATGGGCATTTAGGTTGGTTCCAGGTCTTGGCTATTGTGAATTGTGCTGCAATAAACATTAGGGTGCAGACCGCTTTTTTCTTTATCAATTTAAACTCCTTTGGGTAAATTCCAAGGAGTGGGATGGCTGGGTCGAACGGTAGGGTTATATTCAGGTTTCTGAGGAATCTCCAGACTGATTTCCATAGTGGCTTAACCAGTTTGCATTCCCACCAACAGTGGGTTAGTGTCCCTTTTTCCCCACATCCTCGCCAGCATCTGTTGTTGGTAGATTTCTGTATGTGAGCCATTCTAACCGGGGTGAAGTGAAACCTCATTGTGGTTTTGATTTGCATTTCCCTGATTGCTAGTGACCTTGAACATTTTTTCATGTGCCTGTTGGCCATTTGGATTTCCTCTTTTGAAAAATGTCTATTGAAGTCCTTGGCCCATCTCTTAAGTGGGTTGTTGGTTTTGTTTTTGTGGAGTTTCTTGATCTCTTTGTAGATTCTGGTTATTAACCCTTTATCTGTTGCATAGTTTGCAAATATTTTTTCCCATTCTGTCGGTTGTCTCTTCACTCTCCTGACTGTTTCTTTTGCAGTACAGAAACTTCTCAATTTGATGCAATCCCAATAGTTGATTTTGGCTTTGACTGTCTGTGCCTCCCGGGTCTTTTCCAGAAATTCTTTGCCTGTGCCAATATCTTGAAGGGTTTCTCCAATGTTCTCTAATAACTTAATGGTGTCAGGACGTAGATTTAGGTCTTTAATCCACGTTGAGTGGATTTTTGTGTAAGGTGTAAGGTAGGGGTCTTGCTTCATGCTTCTGCACGTGGAAATCCAGTTTTCCCAGCACCATTTATTGAATAGACTGTCCTTGCTCCAGGAATTAGTTTTAGATCCTTGATCAAATATAAGTTGGCTGTAGATGTTTGGGTTGATTTCTGGTGTTTCAATTCTGTTCCATTGGTCTATCCATCTGTTTCTGTACCAGTACCATGCTGTTTTGATTACAACTGCCCTGTAGTATGTCCTGAAGTCTGGTATTGTGATGCCTCCGGCTTTGTTTTTGTTGTACAAGATTGCTTTAGCTATTCGAGGTCTCTTGTGCCTCCATATGAATTTCAGCATCATTTTTTCTAGATCTGCGAAGAATGTCTTTGGTATCTTGATTGGGATTGCATTGAATGTATAAATTGCTTTTGGGAGAATGGACATTTTGATGATGTTGATTCTTCCAATCCATGAGCATGGAAGATTTTTCCATTTTTTGGTATCCTCTTCTATTTCTTTCTTTAAGGTTTTGTAATTTTCATCGTAGAGATCTTTAACGTCCTTGGTTAAGTTTATTCCAAGGTATTCGATTGTTTTTGTAGCTATTGTGA